ACCTGAAATTAAAGGGGAAGCATTATGGCTTGGTTTTACTTTAGCAGTGCTCCAGCTAACAACATCAGGAAAATAGCTTTTCAAATGAAAACACTTTTTTTTTTTTTGTCCTCCCCACTGGAGCTGGGACAGAGGTCAAGAGAGAGGGAGATGGAATAGGAAGATTCCACGCCAAACAGCTTGGACATTAGTCTTATTGTTCAAGAAGCAATGAATGACTCTGAAGAAATGGCATTCTTTTAGAGTGACAAAAATGTAATCTGCCCAGCTGGCTGGGTTTCCATTGAGATTTTGCAACACCCCAGAGCTGCCCATTTATTTAAAACGACGCCAGAGCCCTAACCGGTTTGGCTCAGTGGATAGAGTGTCACCCTGCGGACTGAAGGGTCCCAGGTTCGATTCCGGTCAAGGGCGTGTACCTTGGTTGCAGGCACATCCCCAGTAGGGTGTGCAGGAGGGACCTGATCAATGTTTCCCTCTCATTGATATTTCTAACTCTCTATTCCTCTCCCTTCCTCTCTGTAAAAAAATCAATCAAATATATTTTTAAAAAATAAAATAAAACGACGCCAGAATAGGAATTCTGATAATGCTAACTTCGGGTTTTCAGAGCAATCTCTTCCCCCTGCCTTTTCTCCCCTGTGCCCTCTGAAGGAATATACGTTTTTGTATGTATTTTTCAGAGCACCTTCCTGTAGATTTTATTTCGTTTTGTGTAATTGGCTTTCTGTTATATAGAGGGAGAATAAACTGGGAAATAGGCATGTGTGTGGTGTTAGAAGTAAGCTAGCTCGTCCTGGAGGAAATGAAGCTGAAGTTAGACAGCAGACAGGACTGTTTTTATTCTGCCACTCTGGGCTTCGCTGAACTTGGCATTGGCAGGACACTCACCCACCGGAGCCCGAAGGGGGATGGACCTGAGCATTTAGGAGGAGAGGATTTGGCACCTGTATGGTAACCCCAAAGTAAAGGTCCAAAAAAATTACAAAGGTTGTCTTAAAGCAGCACGGTTTGAAACTCTTTTGGCCATCATCCTTGCATAGGCATTTTGCGATGCAGGAATTCTGAATTCATCTCACCTGATTTCCCCGTCCTAGGTGGTGTCGGGATTATTAGATTTCCTCATCCGACTGTGGGCCAGCACCCCCTGCTTCTTGTTTTTCTTTCCGTCGCTGGCACAGCTTAGTCCATTGATTGGGTTCTTACATAGTGTTAAAAATGCCTTTTCTGCCCTGACCGGTTTGGCTCAGCGGATAGAGTGTCGGCCTGCGGACTGAAGGGTCCCGGGTTCAATTAAGGTCAAGGGCATGTACCTTGGTTGAGGGTACATCCCCCATAGGGGGTGTGCAGGAGGCAGCTGATCAATATTTCTCTCTCATCGATGTTTCTAATTCTCTATCCCTCTCCCTGTAAAAAATCAATAAAATATATTTAAAAAAACAAAACCTAAAAATGCCTTTTCTTCCAACTCCCCTTACAGCTTCTGTTTTTATCCATTTGCTTACAAATAGATTTAATTAGCTCAGAAAACTACCTCCAGGATTTTTCAGTTTCTTTCCTTCTGTTCTATAGAGACACATGCTTCATGCTGGTAAAGCGAGACCGATGGGAACTTCAGAGTGGCATGCATTTTCCTGCAAACACAGTTAAGAACAGACACCCAAGTCCTAAAGAGGAAAGTTGGAGACACTCTTGAGTCACCACTTGGGGGGTTGAGGGAGCTGTCCGTGATGGTTACAGGGTCTGTGTGTGTGTGTGTGTGTGTGTACACACACACACACACACACATCACAGTGACAGATGACCTATTGAAATAATTTCAGAGCTGTTCTGTGGTTGCTACGACAACCAATGCTCTCTTGGCTTTCATCTGGCCATGTGACAGGGACTTTGACGTCAGCTGGAGGCAGAGTCTGTGGCTGAGTCCACACAGTCAAAGGCCTGTGAGAATCGGGTGGATGCTGGCTGCTGCCGCCTCTGCTGCTGCTGCTGCTCCTCACGCCGCTCCCGCCGCCGCGGCCGCTGCCCAGGGCTGCGGAGCATGGACTGTTAAATCTTGCACTTCTTCCGTGTGAGGTAATTCGTTTCCTTTATGCACAAATGGCTAGATGTTTTATAGATCCTTGTGGTTTCCCCTCTCTCTTACCTCCCACAAGTGTGTCTTCACGAGCAATTATTGTTGTACCAGGGAAAACCATGAAGCGGCTTCTGGTTGCTAATGTTGTGCAGCCTCTGGAATTTGGTTACATTTGGGTTAATGTTCTGGAAGTAGGTTAAAATGTAAGCGTCTTCCTCGCTCAGCACTTGCTAACATGGCATTATTTAGAGATACGGATTTGGCAGCTTGAGCCAAATAAGCCCCATCCAATTCCAGGAATCTTCCCCTCATTGTTTTGGGTTTCAGGACTCCAGCATAGCGTTGCAATATGTTGCTAACTTTGCTGTTTTCACAATTGCTGCCCTATTCTGAATCATCCCAGAATAGTTTGGAATTTGGTTTCTATCTCGTTTGCAGCTTTCAGACTTAGCAACAATAGGCACCGCGGGAAAGGACATTAGACTTTGAAACAGAAGTTGGGGCTTTGCTTGTAAATCGGGGATTCTGAAATGACCAGGGAAAACTGTCAACAGCTTCCTGTTTAGAACAAAATCATCTGGACTATGCCAGGGAAGTCCGGCTGGAAGCTCTCCATGTGCGCCTGCCGTGGCTCTTTGGTTGTTAGAGCAAAGTGCACATTTTCAGCATCTTCCTCTGAAAATTCCTCTGTGAAGAGAATAACACTGGAGGGTCTTTCCTGAGGAGTCCTATCATCTGTTTTTATGTTTAAAAATTGAACTAATTCCTTTAGAGGAAAACAGCAGCCCTAAAACTGAATTACCATTGGTAGATCTACTTTCATTGAAGCACAATATAATCACTGAAAATTTGCTCCAGGTCTTGAATGAATAATTTGATAACTGATTAGGAAGGCCTTTTATTTCTTTATTTCTACAACACCATAAAATGCGAATGGGTTTGTTTGCCTTATTTTAGTTCATTTTCTTCCCAAGTTTAGTCATCATGAATTTTCTATCATTGTAAATTAGTTGGATCATTTTGTGGCTTATAATCCAAGGAAAACCTCTGGTATTGAAATTAATCAAAGCCTCGATGTCTAATCGGTTTCTAAATCTCACAAGTTTTACAGGAAAAAAATAGCGCAAGTTTAAGAGCAGCACATGTAATACACCTACTGTTTTGATGAACAGAAAATAATGGTTTAACTATGTGTATGAAAAAAATATATTTTATGATATGTGAACTATATCTCAAGTTAATGCCATACTATGTTGTTCTTATTTTTGATGTTCTTTATTAGTTTCTGAATTCTGATTGTGTTTACTTTACTCTGGAGATGAGCGTTTTGAACAGTATTTAACTTCAGTGATAAGTGAGTAATTGTGGGTGCATCAGTGATTTCTCAATAGCTTTCAATGAGTGAATATTCATTTAACTTGCTGGCATTAGATATGACTATTTTTGGTCGGAGTCTCCATGGAGCATTTTCTAAAAAGTGTACTAAGGCAAATCTATTGAGACATCATCTCATTTAATTTATCTCATAATTATAACTCAGAGGTCATAGTCTTAATATCCATAGAAATATGCTAATTGCTTTGCAATTCAAATGAGCATGGATAGGACCAGGCTCTCTGTTATTTAAAAGCACAGTCTTTGGCGGGGGAGCTTTGATGTTTACTTTTTTTTTTTTTTTTACTCAAAATAAGGAATTGTCATTATACTTTCCCAAGTAGCTTTCTTGATGCTCTTTCTATGACATTTTAAATTAAGGTTATAAAGTGACCGTATTCAATGCTCTTATAAAATAGACTGGATTCCAGCAGTACGAGAGATAAAGAGCAAAGTATCAATGATCAAGTTCATCATTAGAAGAAAACAACCTATGCTACAATAGCAGAGATGCTTTAGAATCCACAGGTCTTTTCTTACGGCAAAATACGCGGGGCAATGGCTCTCATCAGAATCATCTACTTACAACAAGGAGACTGTGTGACTTCAAGGTCAAGTTTGTTTCAGCTTCAAAAAATACTAGCAAGGAATGATTTACTCTAGGAACTTGGCTGTTGCATTATCCACTGTTTCGTGTGTAGTTTCAGGGATTTTAATCTTTTGGGTGTCATGAACCTCTTTGGCAGCGTGGTGAAGTCCATAGAACTCTTCTAGGAATGATGTTTTTTAAATACATGAGATAAGGTCTGCAAGATTACAAAGGAAACCACTCTTATTGAAATATGTTGACCAATTTTTTAAAAATTGTGAATTGTGCTCTATTAAATAATACCATCATTTGAAGTAGTGATGAGAGTAAAAGGAATTTCGAGATAACTATAATGATATGATATGAGAATATCAGCCATTTTCCTTGGCAACAAAATCACAGGTACTGTGGTTTGTGACGTCCATTTTAATGACAATAAATACTAAATTTCAGTTGGAGGTTAGTGAAACTAAAGATGTAGTATTTTTCCATCCAAGTTCCTGGATCCCCTTACATTCTCTCTACCCCTGCGTTTAATGATATGTGATCTAGTGATGCCAAAAGGTCATAGGCCAGCATCCAACAAAATCCACATCGTCATTTCCACATTCAATTTCACCACATCTGATTTTATTCTCTGAAAGGGTGAGTTTCCCAGAGTATTCTGATTTCTGTGTGAAAAGGAATGATATGTCCGTATAACTACCAAGCTGTAACTTTCTCTCATTTTTCTCCTTGAAATCCATAAGTAATCTTACGTGACTTGGACTAAGGAATTCTTACCTGGTTAGATAGGGGTTAAAAGGAAAAATGCATAGTGTTAATGCAAGTTATGCAAGTTAAAACCATGGACCACAGAAGACTATAGGTACAGACGAAGGGACTTGTGTCCACTCAGAGAAAATAAGCAAGTAGTACTTAGATGAAGAATGCAGAATGCTATATGAGATCATAGCTGAAGGAATACTCTAGAAGGTACTTTGTGCACAATATTTGAAACGTGCATTAAAGAACTTATGTAACTTCCAAGTTTAGTGTAAAGCACATGTGTGAATTGATAAATTGCCATGTGAATTCCAGTCAGTCAGGATAGAGCCTGTAGGTTTATCTGCCAGAGGGCCCCAGGCCAAAACACATTCAAAATGATGTGGGGAATGGAGACACTTCCCAGGTACTTAGAACTCAGACTCTTACTTGACTTACTGGATATTTAAGAACAAGAAAGGAGCCCTAGCCAGTATGGCTCAATGGTTGGAGCATCAGTCCACGGACTGAAGGGTCCCGGGGTCGATTCCAGTCAAGAGCATGTACCTTGGTTGCAAGCTCAATCCCTGCCCCAGCAACCAATTGATGTCTTTCTTTCTCTCTCTCTCTCATCAACGTTTCTCTATTTCTGTCTCTCCCCCTCCCTTGCACTCTCTCTAAAAATCAATGGGGAAAAAATATCCTCAGATGAGGATTAACAACAACAAAAAAGAGCAATAAATGAGGTATTAATATTATTGTTTAGTGGGAGTATGTAAGTCATTGTCTCACTCTCCGTGTCACATTGAATTTGCAGAAGATAACTGCCTCCGTTCTCTCTCCAGCCAGTCAGGTTACGTTGCAGTTGGCTGGCTGATGTCCCGTAGCATTGTCTTTCTAACCTGCGTTTGAGTGTCCAAAGCCATCCTTTCTCCGCGTGAGAGAATAGGAGCGATGACGTTTCACACAAGCTGTTGTTTAAACTCGATCCAAATCCCTAACATCTGAAATGAAAGCTTAGCGATTTTTTTCACGAGTTCTCTGGGAAATTACGAAAAAGGATTTTCTCAAACGTTTCTTGTTCTTTGGACTCGAAAAGAACACCTGCTTTGGAGGCTTTTATGAAGAAATTGGAAAAAGTCTAAAAACAGCTCTGACTCCCGGCTGCACTGTTTGATGGCAGGTGTTTGAAATTTAAATTCAGAAAGGAACATGCCATTATTTTTTTTCGTGAAATCAACTGTTATTTAAAGGCACCCTGTGATGGAATGCTAACTAGAGTTAGCATTCCAAAATATGGCATTTTTTATTGTTTCCAGAAGTGATGCCATAAAAGTTAGTGCTCATTAAGACTCGGATATAAAAATTATATGATAAATATTTAAATTCAGTGGAGCCACATTCTCCATTCTAAAGACAGTGTGTCCTTTTTTATCTGCCGTGAGCTTTCGGTTTTTTTGGACATCTTTCTATAACTGCCTTCAATTAGAGACACAGCATCCTTTTCAAATTTAGTTTACACTAATGCGAAACATAGTATACTCAGCTAGCATTAAAGTCCTAGTTTTGATTTTCAGGAAAGAAATCTCTAGTCTGAGAGATATTCCAGCTGCTGCTTGTCCTAATGGAAGGATTGTCCATATTTCCTGAATTCTGTTCCAATGACTGCAGGAAAACCAAAGGCAACATACAGCTGTTAGGAAAGATGAGTTTTTAAAAGGATGATCCTATATTGTCTTTACTTTGATGATTTTAAACCTTACCCATCTTACCTAATAATAGAAAAACATGTAAATTGACTGTCTCTCCGCTAGGCTCACCAGCCAATCAGGAGAGTATGCAAATTAACCCAAACAAAGATGGCGGTTAATTTGCATAAGTAGGGGTGAAGCGGGCAGAGCGAAGACTGAAGGCTCTGTCTGGAGCCACAAAGACTGAAGGCTCTGTCCAGAGCAAAGGCCTGGGCCCGGGTACCAGAGGAAAACCGGTGCCGGCAACCAAGGAAAGGGAAGGCCTATTGCATGAATCTCTTCGTGCAACGGGCCTCTAGTTAGAGATAAATGTCAAGAAGAGTGTTCTAATATTTGGCTGTCTGCTCAGCTGCCTCCCACTGACTTTCATGTGATTCAGACATCTAAAACCACGACCAATTGTGTGATGGCCGTATTTACAACATCTTTGGTGATGAAATAAAAAAATAGCATCCCACAAGTGACCCCATCCCATGCCTTCCCACGTCTCACCAAAAATCAGGTGCAACGTGAGGTAACATCATCCAAACCACAAGTATTT